CCTGCTGATTCATTCGAGGAGTGGGATGTGTCACTTTGAACGCAATCGCAGTTCACAGGTTAAATGAAGTTATATGTCAACAAAGGCTCCGGTCAATACGGAATAGTGGAGTAATAATGTCACTTACATTTTCCTGAAGCTGACTACACAACACAGGAGCAATTTTGCTAGAGTAACTTCTTTTTGAAAGTCGGAACTGGGATTTTGACAGGTCTCAGGGCATGCAAATTTTTGTTGCGGAAAGCTATTTGTTTCATTTGTTAATTCATTTAGAAATAACCGACACTTTCACTCGACACCGAGGTTCGCTGTCATCGAGCGGCACGGAAGTGCATTCCAAAGGCTGAATCATTGTTACGAGACTTGCATTTCTACAGCATGATTCATATCCTCAGGATAGCTCACAGCACATGAGATACTATAGAAGTTAGTCACTACTATAACGTAAGGAATACCTTAGGCGAGCATCAATTCTAAATTTGGCTTCAGTTTGAATCTGTGGTTTAATTTATTTGATTATACGCAATGCAAAGATTTATAAAAAGGGAATCGGGGTTAACCTTAAAATTAAAAGTATTCTATTCAGGGATCATGGCTGATAGCACTTCTTCATATAAAACGAAGTGAAAATCTTAAATTGTCCCCGAAAGAGGAACCTTTGCTGGTTGTGAAATGTTTATGATCCAAAGCTATATCCACATGTCAGGGCTCTTGTGCTCCAGTGATAACGTTACTATCTCTGGACGAAAAGGTCCGGGTGCAAATCCTATCTGGTTCAAAGGTGTACTCCATAAGAACATCTCTGAACACGTTTATGCCAAAATATCTACAACCACATGTCCCTGCACCAACATTTGAACCATCCCGCCAATTACCCAGTGCGCTCTGTGCTGCGCACGCGCAGTCCATTGTTTTGACTAAAAATGCCGTCGGTTTCGAAAGCTGCGACGAGCGCTTCTCCTCAGACGGAGAAACCGTCTCATTACACGTAAGTACCGATCCCGCCTGCAGCAGTTTCACCGCCACCGCATCCAGCGCAACCCAATACCCGCCTAATGTTAAAAAGATAACGGCAAAAAAGTGCATCAACCATCCTTCCCACCCCCCGCCCCCACCATTTAATTTAGCCCCGGAGCAGCGACCCTCCCCCGCACGGAGCGGAGCCCAGGCCTCGGCCCCGTCAGGCCCAGATCCTCCGCCTGGCCTAATCGACAGACGCTAATCTGGGGGATTTTTTTTTTTGCAGATATTTGAAGGAGTTCCGGACAGAGCAATGTCCACTCTTCTTGCAGCACAAGTGCGCCCAGCACAGGCCCTTCACCTGCTTCCACTGGCATTTCCTCAATCAGCGGCGGAGGAGGCCCATCAGGCGGCGGGACGGCACCTTCAACTACAGCCCGGACGTCTATTGCACCAAATACGACGAGACTACCGGAATCTGCCCGGACGGAGACGAGTGAGTCGATTGGGTGTTTTCCGAGGATGGGAGATGAATCCAAGTTCGCTCCCTCGGTTGTTGTGTTCCTGTCGCCGCAGGCTATGGGTGTTTGTTTTGGCGGGCAACGTTTGTAGTTGAGGATAACTCACTCCTGTCACGGCTATGTACAGTGGACCACGGTATTTGAGCGGGAGACTCACTATATTGTGTATTTGTATTGAATGTTGATTCGTGTGGAGAATGGAGTTCAAAACATTCTGCCTGAAGTCCTCATGTTCTTGGGCATGTATTTAGATGTAGGAGTTCTAGGAGAGCGGATTCATAAAATTGGGAAATGTAGTTCCTTCGACGCAAAACTATACGATGCCTATAGATAACGAGCCTAATACATTAATTAAAAAATATTCTGCACTAATTAGCAGCGACCTTTGGTATAGACTAAATAGAAGTAAGCTTGCAGTGGCAAACTTTAAAGGCTAGGACTTGAGATGTGGGAGCTGTGTTTTGTTTCTACGTGACTAAATGTTTGGCGGTTTACGTATAGCTTTTGTTGATCATGGAAGAAACTGAGATGTAGAACGTGTGTAGTTTTGGTTTCAGTATCTTTTTGTTTGCCCGGCATCAAGTTGATATTTTAGAAGTTGTGTACACGTTTCTTCAGTTTGTGGGAGGTATTCTTGTTTGTAAATTGTAGTTGAGAATTTATTGTTTCCTAGGACTCTTTTAAACTTTGGACTTTTTAACATTTTCTATTAAAAGTTATATAAAAGGTAATATTTTGCCTCTATATCGTTACTTTTCAAAATAGTTTGTTCTATGCCGTGCAACTAGAAATCGCAGAGGTGATAAAGTCGGGTTTTCTTCCCCTGAGCGCCATTGATATAAAAGAATTGCCGTAGTTTTTTTCATGTGTGGTTCTCTTTCTTTGGCTACAATGCTAATTTCTCGTTTTTGCTGTAATTTTTTTCCTTGTGCCCCTTTAATTCTTGTGTTGCGTTTCCTATGTCAATATGCAATATAAATGTGTATTGTTTGTGCAGGTTTTGACATTTTTTGAATTTTGTGAACTGATAGTTGCTCAGGTTTGATGAAGTCATCACGTTTTAATTGTGATGATTTTTATAGGTAATAACTACTTTTGCAATGGAGATTACACTCCAACTTTATAAATTAGAATATGAATTGATTTTTTTTTTCCCCTGAAGTTCAAGGTTTTAGCATTCATGGAGTCAGATAGATAATCATTAATCCAATAAAATTTAGTAAACCGATGTAAACCTTTAGTGTTTCTTTATGGTGAGACGTAATGCATACACGACTCAAATAGTGCTTCACAGCTTGGCTGGAGTAATCTTTTCTGGAAATATGTAGCAAGGAAATTTATGTTGTGCTTTTCATAATCTCAGGATGTCCTAAATTGCTTCACATCCAATTAAAGAGTCCTGATTATTGAAATTGTGTTTTATTTCCAAACTATTTGTGACAAACACAAACAAAATAGCTTGTTGAACTTATCTGAAATGTTATTTGAATCCTTTGCAGTGGCATGTTAAATTATGCTGACAAAACTTTCTATCAAACAAGACTATCTAAAAACCAATTTCACGGTCAGAGCAAACCTTTGAAAATATCACCTTTTAAAATTTTATGAATGTAACTGGAGTTGAGTTGCATGTTTTTAAATAGGTCAGAAATTTTATAATGGCCAGCATATGTCATTCTGTTTTGGTGTAAACTATTTATGTTCCAAAAATGCTTTAAATTTAATCAGTTCCAAGTTTTATTTATAAACTTTCTGCTACTTACTGCAGAATAAGTTTGCTGCTAATTAGTGTGGAAAAAGCTACTGAAAATTAATTTTACACAGCATTATGTTTAAAGAAAGGATATGACACAAAGCTCAGAATCTTGAACTTAACATATACCACCAGCAAAATTTATATTTATACAGCAATTTTAATGGATTAAAATGCCCAAAAGTGGCTTGGAAAGCAAAGTCTGACACTGAGCTACATTAGATTGTTGAACAAATGACTAAAAGCTTGGTCAAATAGGTAGATTTCAGCGATATCTTGAGGAAAAAGTTTAAGAGGAATTTACGGAAATTAGGCAGCTAACGTTATAGCTTCCAAATGGCAGAACAGTTAAAATTGAGATTGCTTAAAAGACTAGTATTAGAGGAAGACAGGTATCTCGGAGGATGGTGGGTAAAACATCAGGGCAGAACTTGTACGGTTAATGGTAGGGTCCTGGGGAGTGTTACCAAACAAAGAGACCTTGGGATGCGGGTGGATAATTACTTGAAAGTGGAGTTGGAGGTAGACAGGGTGGTGAAGTAGGCATTTGGCATGCTTGCCTTCATTGGTCAGTGCATTAAGTGTAGGAGTTGGGGTGTCATGTTGCGGCTGTACTGGACATTGGCTAGGCCACTTTTGGAGTACTGCGTTCAATTCTGGTCTCCCTTCTATAGGAAGGATGTTGTGAAACTTGAAAGGGTTCAGAAAAGATTTACAAGGATGTTGACAGGGCTAGGGGATTTGAGTGAAAAGGAGAGGCTGAATATGTTGGGGCTGTTTTCCCTGGAGTGTTGGATGCTGAGAGATGACCTTATAGAAGTTTATAAAATCATGAGGAGCATACATAGGGTGAATAGCCAAAGTCTTTTTTTCTCACGGTAGGGGAGTCCAAAACTGGAGGGCATAAGTTTAAGGTGAGAGGGGAATGATTTTAAAAAGGATCTGAGAAGCAACTTTTTCACGTAGAAGGTGGTGTGTGTATGGAACGAGCTGCCAGAGGACATGCTGGAGGTCTGTGCAATTACAGCATTTAAAAGGCATCTGGATGTGTGTGTAAAAGGTAGGGTTGAGAGGGTTATACACCAAGTGCTGGCA